ATGCATTTAATGATGCAACAAAGATGATGAAATCACATATCCCAGCTGCAAATGCACATGCAAGGATTGATGTTCATAATGGACAAAGCAATGTGCCAGCAAATGGCTCATCTGTTGCATCCCTGAAGCGTGGCAGACCACTAGGCTCAAAGGACTCAGTTCCTCGAAAGAGGAAGTTGATGGCCAAAATGAATCCAAATGAAATAAATGGAGAGCCCACAATTCATGATTCAAATGCCCCCCAAGAGGGATAGGTACTTCCTGAAAAGGAAAATTTACTTGGTGAGACAAGTGGCCTTGAAGTGGCAGCTGTACCTGAAAGTCAAGAAATCTCCATAAAGTATACATCCACCAATGAATTGTGGAATAGAGACGAGATGATCATCGATGATATATTTGCATTCTCAGTGGCTATTGAGATCATAAAAGATGATGATATTGAGCCGTGCTCTATTGATGAATGCACAAAGAGGCAAGATTGGCCTAAGTGGAAAGATGCAATCTAGGCAAAATTAGATTCTTTGAAAAAAAGGAGTGTTTTTGGACCTATTGTTCCAACTCCACCCAATGTGAGCCCCAAAATAGTATTTTAATCATAACAGATGCATTTCTAATCCTTGGATTACTCAGTACCCTATATATATATATAGCTTCCATTGAGAGATTCCTCAAATTAGCTTATTTGAGGGACACATGCACCTCCCCTTGCGGGAAAAACCATTGTAGGTGCTTCAAATTGCCACTTTGCTTAACTGGTGTATAGATTGTCTTTGTCCTTTTACTTTTATATATTTTTATATTACTCCATTTACTTAAGTTTACAATGTAAATAAGGAAGTACCCCCTATTTGAATTCAAATAAAAATACTAGAAAATCAAATTCCCACCAAATCAAAATATGAAAAATCGGTTTTAGTGCAAAATACGATTTCGGCTAAAAATGATGGCTCATTAAGTCAATATATACTTCATACTAAAATCCCATAAAATCAAGTTTTCTTATATGATGTGTAAGGAATAAAAGCCGCCAAAAATTATCTTGAGAAAATGATTATCCTGAAAAACCATTTTTCATACTTAGTTAATATTTTTACATAAAATATTTTTTCATGTATGATAAGAATGCATGAAGCGACCTAAGGTTTTTTAAAGTTTGTGAAATTTTGATTATTTTTCTTTCTATTGGGTTTAATGGGGGGAAAAGCTTTAAAGATATTTGCTAAATCGCTACTCTTTGTCTATCTCTTGCAATTTTTCTTGCTCAGAATGTATTTGTCTATCCCTTTGTTGAGGACAATTATGATTGCAACCAATAAGCAATATAATTCTTGACATATGTGATATATATATACTATTTTCGTATGTATTGTGAGTTTGAATTTTTGATTCTTTATAATTTGTAAGAGGTCCCCACACACATGAAATCCTGGCTTCGCCACTGGTGAGCCCTGTAGGTTACAAGTGGGTATTTACAAGAAAGCGCAATGAGAAAAATGAGATCACAAGGTATAAAGCGCGACTTGTTGAGCAAGGTTTTTCACGAAGGCCTGGAATTGATTATGTGGAAACATACTCTCCAGTAATGGACGCAGATACGTTCCGTTACTTGATAAGCTTGGCGGTTTCAGAAAAACTTGAAATGAAACTTATGGATGTCATTACCGCATATCTGTATAGAGAATTGGATACAGACATATACATGAAAGTCCCAGAAGGACTTAAGCTACCTGAAGTAGCCAGGAATAAACCACAGGGCATGTTCTCAATTAAATTGAAAAGATCATTGTATAAGCTAAAGCAATATGGGCGAATGTGGTACAATTGTCTCAGCAAGTATTTACTAAAGTAAGGATACCCAAATGATCCTATTTGCCCATGTGTGTTTATTAAGATATCAGAGTCTGGATTTGCGATAATGGTAGTTTCTGAAGAACGTCGTGAAATAGTGTTGAATCGGTCCGCTTTTGTCTCATCAAAGGATAATGCATATATAAGTTATACATATGCTAACATGGATTGATATTCTCATATCACAATCCATTAACATGGTGACTATATATATAATGCATGCCTAGAGCATGACATATGTTTGTACCGTATCTGACCCTCCACTCGTACAACGACACGTGGATCTTAGAAACTCGCCCAAGTACCCAAGGCCTTGGACAATCGGCATCGGCCACTGATGACATTATATTGTCTCAAAGCTGCGAACAGCCATTACAGGCCCAACTCGTCTTCAATCGGCATCCCTTACCGATTGTACAGAATCAACCTCGAAGTATCCGCCCAAAATATCTAAAGACTCGTGTCGACCTCAGAGGGCCCTCCCACGAGTCCCACATCGAAAATGAGTACTAAGAGCATACAAAATGCCCTCTATAAATAAGCCCCTCCACTACAATCTTTTCAGCTTGACTTCTATACTTTTATATGGTCAACAACAAGAGCTCTTATAAACAATCTTACTTGAGCATCGGAGGGTCTTAGGCTGGTTCCACACCGGTTCCATAGACCTCACGAACCTCAAACTCTCTTCTATTCAAGATCTGCATCCAAGGACAAGAAGGATCTGCATCTATCACTCAATCGATCTGCTAGATCGTCCTCATCACTTGTAAGTTGCACTCATCTCTATCTGTTCAGATTTAGCGCCAACAACAGAAATATAGGTTCTAAAGACTTAACTCTCGGAAGTGGAGATTATTTGAAAAATTCACGCCCTATATAAAATAATAATAATAATAATAATAATAACGCTCTATAAGAGGTTATGATCCACATATTCTAAATAATTCATCGTAGAAGAGATGTTTGTCCCATAAGTGACAACATAAGCCCTTGAGGAGGCAATGGTACCCCAAAGCAATGAGATGCTTATAAATTATGCATGCGCATACACATGAGAATTGTGGGATTGCGAATTGATGATACATTTGGTTTATTAGTAGCTACTACAATCGTCAAGGGCTATGATTATATTAAATCTCGCCTTATGAATGTTGACAAGTTAAGTGATTGGCCTAAAATGGAAATAGGCAATTCCATTTATCACTAAATATGAAAGGTTGGATATTGAGCCTATAACTTAAACACCAAATTACAAATGTTAAGTATGAAGGTTACAGATTGGTGTTTGTGAAGTGAAATAAGATCACTAATATGACATAAGGTTTCCTGGTAGAGACATGGTTTTAGTCTCCCATCTCATCGTAGATGCATCCACATTTCTATAAGTACATTTGTTATTTAACACGAAACTTGTAGCATATGTTAAATGCTTATTTATTAAGACTGTATGGTACATGGAGATTCTCAAAGCTCATGAAATATTTGATCTTATTAAGACAGTATGGTACATGGTATATCGCATGAAGCAACCCTTTGAAGGATATAAAGTACCACAATATTCTTGATTAAGAGTTAACACTAAGAGTTTGAGTATTTTGAATTCAAATTTGATATTGTTGTAACATATTCTAACTATTAGATTAGTTGTTGATGCTACTAAAGAGTTCAATCATTTGAAAAGTGAAAAACAGGTCGAATTTTGTGATAAATGATCAGGTATGAAGACAATGTTGCTTGTATTACTCAAATCAGAGAAGGGTTCATCAATGGTGACAGTTCAGAAAAAAGTCAAGAGATTGGAGTCAAACAAATTTGATCACAAGATAATATGGCGAACCTTTTTACCCAAACTTTTTTTCTGAAGCCTGAATTCCAGAAGTTAATGAAAATAAGGGGGAGATATTAATCAGGGGGAGATATCAATCAGGGGGAGCATCCCAATTCTACTACATACATGACATATGCGTGTTGTACTTTTTTTCCCTTCGACTAGGTTTTTTGTCCCACTGGGTTTTTCCTAGCAATGTTTTAACAAGGCAAAATAAGCGTGTCTAACACCATATCAATGATCTAGAAGAAAGTTGCACTCTTTTTCCCTTATCTTCGGTTTTGTCCCACTGGGTTTTCCAAGCAAGGTTTTTAGTGAGGCAACGATGTCATTGTATGGTGGACATCCAAGGGGGAGTGTTATAAATGCATGAGTTGGTGGATGACCACCATACCTCTTAGCATTCACTCTTTCTAATTCTATGTAACCTATACACTAAATACCTCTTATGAGTTGTTAATGTCTTCTTACCATTGTAAGCCTATAAATAAGAGGTCTTATCAAGATGAGGGACACAAGTTCATAGAACAAATTCTTTGTATTTCTCTTCCTCTTAGTGCTCTCTACAATTCCTCCTAGTTTTATAACTGGGATTTAAAAAAGAAGAAGAGATATTTAGTCATATACCCATTCTTAGCACTAATAATATAGATAAATCTTACACCATTTAATTTATATAAACAAACCCAAAAAATGACAGCTGGCCCTATTGAATTTAATTTTGATTATTAAATTACTTTGACGACCTGAGTGTTTTGGGTATTTTTATGGGGTTTTGGGGTTGGGCTTGTTTTAAGAAATTGATGGCAGTTTTATAATTTATAAGAAGTTAAAAGCCTCTTTGCTATATTGTAAATGAGATTTGGGTGTGTTTCTAAAGTCCATTTCATATAAGGTTTTTTTTTATTTAAATAATTTGGGCTCCTATATTGGGTATAATAGTGAATCTCCCTAAAAAATAAGGTTAGGAAAATACAGAAAGGAAGTGTGTAAGATCAGTCATTATGAGATCCATGTTTCAACATGATATTATTATTTACATTACTAGTCAATCAGAAATTTTCTGTGCAACTTGAAAAACGGATTTTATAATTTTGTCATGGAGATGTTATATAAGAAAAAAGATGTAATTGGTTTTTAGTTGTCGAATTCACCAGTCTTGCATGCGAAACTGCTTACGACTTGGCATGTATACAATTAGTTGATGGTTGAGTTGAGTTAAGCACTTGCGTCACCACTCCCATTCTTTTCCTTCTAGAAAACGTTATAGAAGCATCCTTAATCCAGTAATTATATAGGAACAAACGAATCAAAAAATTTCTTCTTCTCAATATTATTTATTTGAATATAGACCTCAAAATTCAAAGGCTTTCCAAGAACATTACACTATAAAAGAAAAGAAGGCTCCTTCTGTGTTTAATACACATCTCAATTCTCATAGACCGTCCCGTTTCGAATATATCAATGGCAGAAAAAACAAAGAGGTAGCACTTTAAAGTCCTTTATGCTTTGAAGTACTGCTTTCATAACAATTTCTCACTACTTTTTGTGTTATGAATTTGGTGTTTGTGTTTTCTCAGGTATGCAGTTGTTACTGGAGCAAACAAAGGCATAGGATTGGAAACTGTGAGGCAATTGGCCTCAAATGGATTCACTGTAGTCTTAACTGCCAGAGATGAGAAAAGGGGTCTTGAAGCTGTTGAGAAACTCAAAGAATCTGGCCTCTCAGGTCAAGTGGTTTTTCATCAACTTGATGTGGCTAAACCTGCTACTGTTGCTTCCTTGGCAGAGTTCATCAAAACCCAGTTTGGAAAACTCGATATCTTGGTATGTGTATGATCATAGCTGCAGGTTTCTTGAAAAAGTTTCTGTCTTTTGAAATAATTATAAGTCTTAGGCTTACACAATATCCACACAGGTGGAGGTTATATTAGAGACTGTAAAATTGAGTGGCTGATCCAAATCCAACTCTATGTCTTTCCATTGTTTTTCGTTTTTTTTTTGGGTGGAATTCTTTCCATATATATGCTATATGATCCCTCTCTGTACAATTTAAAAGCACCCTAGAAAGATCAGTGGCTGGAGTTAAGGGGTTCGGGAAAAGCATAATTATTGGCCTTTATGGTTGGTTTGGTTGTAACAACAAAAGAGATTTATCCAAGTAATCAGGGGATCTACCTACTTCCAATTAATTTCATTTTCTAGGAAAAATTTCAGTTCTTTTCTTTGCTAAAAGAAAGCAAATAGTGAAACAGTTGGACTCTGCACAGGTGAACAATGCAGGGATTACTGGAAACCAAGTAGACGGTGATGCTCTTAAAGCTGTAGCAGACACTGGTGCCATGGTAAGTCTTTTGCATAATTTTTATCAATAGCTATCAAAAACTAAAAGCTTCAATGTATGTGCTTAATATGAATATAAGTTCTCTTGCTGTCTTCCTCTGTCATATTTTCATTGTGATGTGCATGTCAAACTTTGATCACCATTTTTCTTGTTGGGGGTGGGTGTAAGTAGTTTGCAATAGCCACCATAATATGTTTGTTCTTACTGATGCAGGAAAGAGGAGAAGTTGATTGGAGTAAATTAACGACAGAAACTTATGAGTTGGCAGAAGAATGCTTGCAAATAAACTACTATGGTGCTAAAAGAACAGCTGAAGCACTTATCCCACTCCTCCAGTTATCCGACTCACCGAGAATTGTTAATGTTTCCTCTTTCTTTGGGAAGTTAAAGTACATACCGAGCGGTTGGGCTAAAGGAGTTTTTACTGATGCAGAAAACCTAACAGAAGAGAGACTAGATGAGGTACTGACTGAGCTTTTAAAAGACTTCAAGGAGGGTTCACTTGAAAGTAAGGGCTTTCCTTCTTCTTTGTCAGCCTACATAGTCTCAAAAGCTGCACTGAACGCATATACAAGGATTCTAGCAAAGAAGTACCCCACTTTTCGTATCAATTCAGTCTGCCCTGGCTTTGTCAAAACAGATATAAACTACAATACCGGTGTCCTACCCGTCGAAGAAGGCACTGCAAAGGTTGTGAAGTTAGCATTGGTGCCCAATGATGGCCCTTCTGGCTCCTTCTTTGTTCAGTATGAAGTGTCAGATTTTTAATTGAAGATGATCCATTTATGCAAATTAAATACTTGTCATTTATTTGGCACGATCTTGAAGTTTTAATGTAACAAAGTATATTTGGACCCAGCACCAGATCCTTTTTAAGTTCTTTCTACATCCAATATGACTCGAGGACAACATACAATAGTCCTGTATGATTGCATCTCTGTGAAATTATCTTCCACATCTGGAATTGATTGAAGGATCTAGTACATTGCTTGTTTACATTTCTACTTATCAACTGGCTCTTGAACCCATATTATCATTTACATTATTATTCAATCAGAAATTTTATATGATTGATATCCGTCCTTTGATCGATACTATCGTTAACATTTCGGTGTATTTTGTTATGCATATGTTGACAACAATTATATTAACACTTTATCAACAATCCGTCATTAATTAAGAAGTGACGTAGGTGTGGAGAATTGATTATATCCAACAATTCGTCAATCCGTCAATATTATTGTATTCAATTGTTGAATAAAGAAAAAGACAATTGTTATGTTCAACGCAAAACTACTTAAGACTTTTCATGCCTTTTTACTCCATCGGTGGTTGAGCCCCTTGGCCCCCCATTGGGGAAGGAGGCCCTTGTGAACATATTGAAAGGTCTCTCTGGTCTGTCTACGTGTGCACTTGCGTCACTACCTTCATCCTTTTCCTTAATACTCCAAAAAAAAAAAAAAAAATCCAAGCAAATGTTGTTCCATCTTTCCCATTCGGTATTATCAATAGTATATTAATAACATTTTGATATATTTTGTTAGTTATATGTCAGAGATAATAATTTTGACACCTTATTAATAGTCTGTCATTTAATTATAAAATAAGTTTAAAGAAAATTTGATTATTCAATATTATCCAACTTAAGTTGTAATAGCGCAATCGCAAAGAGTGAAGACCCACATTCAGAGGAGTCTCACCCTTATTTAAGCATGCTACCGGTGTTGCTGTTTTATCTAAGATTTTTTCCTATCAAAAGGTGAAAGTTGTCACAAGTAAATTAATATTCATGTTTCTACTAGGATATTATTAGTCAATTAGAAATTTTCTGCAAATTGAAAGTCTTGCATGCGAAACTGCTTGCCACTGCCACCACAAAAATTCTTCGACAACGTGAGCAATTGCGTCACCATGCCCCATTATTTTCCTTAAAAATCTTCAAAACAAAAATCCAAACAAATCTTGGTCCCTCTTTAACCACAATATCCAATTACTGCTAGAAAACATCAGAACCATCCTCCCTCCAGTATGTATATAGGAACAAAAGAACCAACAATTTTCATCTTCTTCTTATTATTTATCTGAATATAATGTAATTTTAGGTATTTTGGGAACCAGCAGATCCTTTTTAGGTTCTTTCTACATTCAATACGAGGATGGAATGTATATGATGCTTTTTATCTCAGCAAAATTTCACCAAAAGCACAAATAACAAAAGAAACTGCACCCCAAAAAAGAATAGAAAAGTTCAGGTCTTTCTGGCCTCACAGGAAGCTCTCAGCTGACTTGACCTTCCCCTTTGGTTTTTGGGAAAAGACTTAGCTGTCCTAGGGTGACTACTCCTTGTTCCTTCCTATAGAATCTTGTGAAGTATGCAAGTTTCTTGCGTTTTGAGAAGAGCGACAACACTCCCAAATAAAGGCTGAAAGAGTCACATTTAGGGGGTCTCACCCTTTTTTGAGTGTGCTACCGGTGCAGCGGTCCTATTTACCATTTTTTTTCCTATCACAAAGTTGTGGCAAGTAAATTAATATATATTTTTAAAAGTCTAGTTGGAATTTAAAAAAAAAAAACAAGAGATATTTAGTCCTATATCCATTCTTAGCACTAATAATATAGATAAACCCTACACCATTTAATTTATGTAAACAAACCCAAAAAAAACCCAAAAACTGACTGCTGGCCTTATTGAATTTAATTTTGAATATTAAATTACTTTGATGCCCTATTGAGTGTTTTAGGTATTTTTATGAGGTTTTGGGGTTGGACTTGTTTTAAGAAATTAATGGTAGTTTTGTAATTTATAAGAAGTTAAGGGCTCGTTTGGGAGTGCTTCTTCCCGAAGCGCTTATGTCAGTAGCGCTTATGACATAAGCACTTCTACAAGAAGCAGTTTGTCGTTTGGATGTCACATTTTAAAGTGTTTTTACATTACATAAAAGCGTTTTTTATATTTTGTTGAGTGTTTGGCTGACACAGTAAAACCGTTTTTAAAAGTGCTTTAAAAAAATTTAAAGAATCCCAAAATATTTTCCTCTACATATTCATTTTCAAATTAAGTAATCAATTCGAAATTCTTCCCAATTCTACTCCCTGAATGATTTAGGAATAGAAACAGAAACATATTCTGAAAATTTAAAAGTAAAATTATACCCAAAACAATTCATTAGATTCAAAAACGGAACCTCGAACATACACAACATTAATAGATTACACAAGCAAGAATAGCGTAAGAAATTAGATCAACAAATTAACTGGATGAAATTTAGAAAAGCACTTTGGTGCCTTCGTAATCTGACATTGTTGCTCCGACTTTCAAATTCGAACCTTAATTTTTTGGAAAATCGGTGAAAACAGAAGCTCACGAATTGCAGGCTCTGGAAAGGATCTGGGGTATGTGTGAGTGAGGCTCTGCTACAGTAATGGCTGTAGCTTTAAACCACAGTAGTCTTCTTCGCAAATAAAGTCAGAAAATAAAGAGCAAATATGTTCAATATTGAGAGAAGCCATGAGAGAGATGGAATAGAAGCTTAAGGATTCCATGGGTGTTTTGGCGTTGTTGGGCTTTTCCAGGTTAGTGTTTTGGTTATAATAGGAGAGAAAAAGAGAGGGGAAAAAAAGAGAGGGTATTTTGGCATTTTTAAAAATTAAATATGGGTATTTTTGGTATTTTAAAAGTTTCATTAAAGGGAGCCAAGTGCTTCCCGCGTTTTTGTTCTGCAGCGCTTTTAAGAAGAAGCACCTTGAGAGGTGCTTCTTCCAAAACCACTCCAAGTGCTTTTGGATCTCACCCAAAGCGCTTTTGCAATTTTTGCCAAACACCATTTTTAAAAGACAAAAGCGCTTTCACCCATTTAGAAGCGCTTTTTGTTGCTCCAAAAGCACTCCCAAACGAGCCCTAAGGGCTCGTTTGGGAGTGCTTCTTTCCGAAGCGCTTATGCCAGTAGCGCTTATGCCAGTAGCGCTTAAGACATAAGCGCTTAAGACATAAGCGCTTCAATCCACATGTTCGAAATTTTGCTGCTTCAGGAGTCTCCTACAATAATATCAACTTAAATGAAAAAGTTCTAACAAAACTATGTATCTAGCTTCAGGTGTAAGAAAATATAACTCAACTGTATGACAAGAAATTCACCTTCACTTTCTTGTCCCACCATTCATTGCTAGCATTGATGGTTTTCTTCACAGGATCCCATCCTAGACCAGTCTCTTTTCCAACCAAAGATGTCCACAATTGCCAATCTTTCTTAAGTCCAGTCCATTTGTTCTTGAGTTGCTTTTGAGTGTAGGTCCTTTGAGTCAACTCACTAAATTTCTTTATAACATTTTTCCATCCTTGCTTACTAAAATGGCCACCTGGTCGATTTCCAGCTATTGTCTCAACAACACAAATTTTTATAAATGCATCAAGAGCCTCATCATCCCAATGAGCCTTTCCTTGTTTCTTGCTTTCTTCGCCACATTCATCTTGTGATTCTGTTCATTGTAGCACTAAGATTGGACTGCATGTTTAAGCAAGAATTCACATAATCAACAATCTGAAAATGCAATTAAGCATAGGAAAAATAACTCAGTTTGAAAACACTGAATGGGAAATTGGTGAACTATCTTAACTCTTTCTAGTTTTGAACTCAATTTTGAACCACCTTAAAATGATAAACGATATTGAACCACCAAAGCAGTTTGGATACACAAGTATGAAAGGAAACATAATCTTTGTAGTTTCTTCAATCAGATCAACACAATAATACAGAGACAAATAGCAAAAGTAAAACTTCCTTTTGCATGCATCCATCCAAGAGGACAAAACGGTGACCAAATCAAAGACAAATAGTAGAAGAAAAATAAATATGAGATATGCACCTGGTAGAGAAGGAAAACGAAAAAGAATTTTCGAAAAATCAAACTATTAATCACAAGATAATGGTCAACGAAAAATTCAGGAACTTTTCAAGTTCAATTGCTGGGATTTATGAGAACACACAGAAAAGCCAATAAATTTGGAAACAACAAGAACCAACAGAATAGAAACATGGGATTTAAGCAAGACAAGTTAACAAGAATTGATGATTACCTCTTTTTCAGAATAAGCAGAAATATGACAGATGAAAAGTCCACTAGGATTTGGAATTCCCCTGCAATATGAAGTCCAAAAAATCTAAAGAGTTGGTGTGTGCTGTGACTTCGTGGATGTGAAGGCAGAAGAAGAAGGGTGTCGCTGAAGCAAGAATTGACGCTGAAGCTTTGCTGCCGACCAGAGCAGATTGTACGAGAGAGATAATAGAAGATGGGTGATAGGTTTTGGCGTCTGATAGGTTTTGGAGTCTGGGCTTTTCGCGGGTAGTTTTGGTTTAATAGGAGAGAAAAAGAGTTTCGCGGGTAGTTTTGGTTTAATAGGAGAGAAAAATAGAAAAAAGAAAAAAAGAAAGAAAGGGTGTTTTGGCATTTAAAAAAATTAAATATGGGTATTTTCGGCATTTTAAAAGTTTCATTAAAGGGAGCCAAGTGCTTCCCGTGTTTTTGTCCTGCAGCGCTTTTATGAAGAAGCACCTCTCAAGTGCTTCTTCCAAAACCACTCCAAGTGCTTTTGGATCTCACCCAAAGCGCTTTGGCAATTTTTGCCAAACACCATTTTTAAAAGACAGAAGCGCTTTCACCCATTTAGAAGCGCTTTTCGCTGCTCCAAAAGCACTCCCAAACGAGCCCTCAAACAACTTTCAATAATTTTGAACAGTATTTAGAAGAAAGTAGACACTTTTAAGTGGGCCCCAACTGAGTAACAGATGAGAGCATTTTTGCTCACCACTTTAACCATAGGTGTACCCTCACCACCATCCTCAATGCTTGACACGTGTCCATAGGTGTAATCATGATTCCATAAATACAAAGCAAAAGTTAACTATGGTTATGTCTATAGACACGTGTCAAGCATTGAGGATGGTGGTGATGGTACACCTATGGTTAAAGTGGTGAGCAAAAATGCACCCGTAACAGATGCTTAAAGCAAG